CTTCTCCTGAGTGCTGTTAAGGGGAGGCTAGCAATATCAACACCATCCACAATGACACGACCTCTGAATGTGTCAATGACTCTGAAGAGAGCAAGGGTCAGCGAAGACTTGCCGCTGCCAGTTCGTCCACAAATACCAACCTACAAAACAATTTGAACTGTTAATAAACTATCAGATTTCTGTCAAACTCAACAGATATTATTTGTCAGACTTAGATGGATCCAAGTATAGAAGGACACATACTATATTTGATAAGATATGTCTGAAATACTTTAAGCACACAAAAGAAGAAGTGCACTGTGTACACGAAAGCTAGTGGTTTGTCAATGAAACTACTCTTGAAAGTACTACATGACAAAAAGACTGCAAAATAACTCAAAAATTCATATACAATTTTGAATCGAAGAATCAAATAAATTGTTAGCTTCCAAAGGGCAAAAGATTTTTTTTATTTTTAAATAGTTTTCACCGACATTTTACAACAAAAATCCTTAAATTTATACCAGCCAAATTAAAGATAAAAAAAAAAAAAAATGTAACTGAACGAAAATTGAAGGGAATTTTTTTCTCACTATAATTTTAAAATAATTTATTTTATAACACAAATTAAGCAATTCAAATGTGGAAATAATTATTTCTATTTCTTTTACCTCATGGCTAATAGTATTTCTTTAACTTGCATATTTTGACTAACATTTTTTTTGTATAATAAACAGTTTCATAAAATTTCTGACTTGTGAAGTTTTAATAATATATTTTAACTGTACTCCAATATGCTAGCATGATTGTGCTACAAGTATGAGGAATTGCATATATACACATATATAATTAATTTGTTTTATACTACAAATTATAAATTTTTTGTTGCTGGTACCAGGTAACCGGGTAGCACAGGCATGAAGGGACCCTTAGGGGTGAAAGAAGTCATTGATCGAGTCCACATATCAAGTGCCCTGAGCATCTTATGTTAGATGGATTTGGCGATATATATCTACACTATTATTATTATTATTAAAAGTTCAGAATTGTTAAAAAATGTAAAGTACTGACCTTTTCTCCAGCACATAAAGTTACAGACACATCCTGAAGGACGGGATCAAGATCTGCGGCGTATCTTACGGAGATGTCATCAAGCACGATTTCACCCTTGTTTGGCCATTGTAGTGGCGGATCTCTTACTCCTGTAAATAATACCACATTTAATGTTTTATATAATATAAAAACAAAAATAAATTCATAGTTTTAAACCTAGGATAACAAAAATATAAAGTAACTGATTAGTATGTGCATTCTGGTGAGAGTAGGCTACATTCATGTTCATCCTTGCCATGAAGCAAGATTTGGTTTGCCACTCTGTGTGTTTGCCTGGGCTGAGTAAAAAAATATTCTTTGTGGTGTAAACAACAGCTCTGTTTGAGGTTCTTACAAACAAGTAGTAGAATATAACAGCACACCATATTACATTAATAGCGATCAGAAATGATGATGATGATGATGGTGTCACACATGGTCACCATACGTTGATGCCATCTCCACTTTCTGTGAGAGCCTGATAATGTAATATCGCCTGCTGATTGCTAGTAAATTGTTAAAATAATCGGCAGTGTGGGTCCACGGCCTTGCGTTCTCTATAAAATCATGTTGGTGCTGTGAGTATATGGCCTTTCATAAACAAGATGCAGATTTATATGCACCAGACATACAAGTTTAGGATTGAAGAACAAATATGTAGGTCTCGACACCACGAAATGAGACGCATTTCGGGTGAAATCATATTGAGATATTCACCAAAATATGTCAAAGTCAAAAACTTTTACAATTTTTTTTTTTTTTTTTAATAACATTACTTATATTTTATGATTGTATATTTTTTAATTGAATTTTCTAAATAAAACAGTGTTCTCTGCACACATTCTGTAATTCTAGTACTACTATTTGTAAAGGTTAGTTTATCTTTTTAAAAACGTGGTTTCTTGTACACCTAAACTTTAAATGCTCACATCTCTGGATTTATAGAAGCCATTTGAAGACCACATGAAAGCTCACAATGTGATTTAAACAAATATGACATAACTTTTTTTTAAATTTTCTAACCATGAGACTTATTTTGTGGTGAGAACTCACATATAAGAAAAACAAACATAAAAAAAAAAATTACCATCATATTTTTCCATGATTAGGTCGCTATAGTAATGAACCCTTTCTACGGAGTTCATACTCATCTCAACAGCAGCTGCCATTCTTACCAACCAATTTAACTGACCAGCCATCTAAACAAATAACAAATATATATATATTTCCTGTCTCTTATACACATCTAGATGTGTATAAGAGGCAGTCTGTGTAGAGTGTGATAAACGAGAACAATAAAATTTGATTGTTGAAATAGTAAACATGAAAGACTATTAAACTATTTGATAATGTTATACTGTTTAGTGTAGAAATTCCTAATAAGCCTATGCATAAAAGTTTGAACTTGCTATTATAATTTGTATGCTATTAAATATTTTTTAGTATGTGCGTTTGGATTTTATGTGCCACTTACTTTTATATTTCTATACCTATATAATTGACTTGAAAATTAGTATCACAGTTGAAGTTGCCTGTCAAATCCAAAATGGCATTGAAAAACTGTTTGATTTAGATAAAATTTGACTAGCAGATGGTTATAATAGAAATCACAACAATTTGGCATGTAAAATAAGATCGACTTAGGCAAACTCGACCTAAGAAAGTTTAACTGTATACACAAATTATCCCCACCAATTAAATTACAGTAATATATTACTGTTCCAATTACTCTTTGCAGTATATCCTTAAATTTTCTTGTATAATCATTAGAAATTTTGCTAGCAAAAACTGTATCTGAAAGTTTATTTCTTTAAATGAGTAGATCAAATGTTTTGATCGAATTGTTTAAAGGATTTGCCATCAACATCAAGTTAAAATTAAAGCAAAGTGAATCCTTTAAAATAAATATGCTGATGATATACTTTTGTAAATATTCATTGTAATGTCAACAAGTACAATAAATCAACTGATTAAATGAAGCTTTAGCAACGGAAACATGCATACTGTCGCTAGATGTTACTCTAGGACAGCGAAGCCATAATATTTACTCCGAACTTTGCAATAGTAAGCTTTGATTCCAGAAAATGATCATATATAAAGCTTATAATGTGGAGAACATGAATATATAAGACAGTAAATTTTCTTTAGTTCACTGATACTAATTTTGCCATATGGCAAGCCCCAAATGAGCTGCTGTACTGTACTGTAGTTGCACATAGGTACAATAAAAAAATAATACTTACAGAAAGAGCATACATGATAGACAGTCCAATAAGGCCGGCATTGTTACCAGTCGTCATAGATGTCAAGCCGGCCAACAGAACAACAAACGCACCAATGATGTCCTAATATTAACAACATAAAACATTAATGCATTTAATTATTCTATTTCTTAAATAATGTACCTAGATATTTCTGATTATGAATCATCTACAAAAAAAAAAAGAAAAAAAAATATGGACCTCCAACATTCAAACCTAACATGCAAAGATACTGAAAGTCACCATGGATTTTCAAAAAAGTTGCTAATTCATACATTACACTGGCCCTAAGTTATAAACAATTTGCTATGCATCACAAATTCTAGCTAAAAAGTCCTTTTTTTTCTTGTCCTTATGTGCAAGATGTCCTTTTGCATGCTGATGTCAATTTAACTTTGTACACACTATCAAATTGTATACCCATTCATGATGTGATGTCATCATGACCATATTTAGGCATATAAAGTGTTTTTGTCAAATACTTAATTTGATCATGGAGGTATAAAATAGTTATATTTTTAATATATTTTTATACCTCCATGATTTGATTGTCTAGGCTCGATTTTATATCACTCACCAGTCGAACACCTAACCATCTGTTGGCAGTTTGGATGTACACATATGCAACGTTGTTCTTGTCGATTTTGCTCAGAATGGCATCTCTGAATGAATTCTGCAAACTAAAAAAAGAAGTAACAATTTTTTTAAATATCTTCAACGTCAACATTACGGTAAGACAACCAATTTAGGATACATTACATTAAAAGAACTATGACATCCAAAGCAACCAACTCTACATGTAGATAATTTGATACATTTACTTCTCTCAGAAATGAGCTACTGATTGTTATTCATTGATCCAATCTTTAGAAAAAAAAAAAGAAAAAAAGGAGGATTTGTTATTGAGGCCGAGGTGCAATGTGGATGATGCAATGATGAATTTCGACCTCAACAACAGGTTTGTCAGACCAAACTTGGTGGGACCATGCTAGACTTCTTGAAAAAAGACAACGGATCGGTGACTGAAAATCATACTGTGTTAAAACTTGGATCAACAAAAAGCCGTGTCCAGTCCCATCAAATTTTATTAGACAAAAACATGTGACATGCCTAAATATGGTCATGATGTTACCCCATTATGACTATATATAGACACATCATGACTATATATGGGCATACAACATTTGCTGTCGAAGACAATCTGGACAAAGCCTAATTATATTATGGATCCAGATGAAAATTAATTTACAATACTGGCTTTGTGTTAGTTGCAGAATGAAGTTTTTTAGCTCCAATGAGGAGCTCCAGAAACACTCGGCTGATTGAGTTATAGGGTTTTTTTTAGATCTACTGCCTCTATTATACTGCCCTCATGAGGCTGATTGATTAATAGTTCACTGATTAATAGATCTTTTTTAGATCTACTGCCTCTGATATACTGCCCTCATGGGGAGCTCTTGAAACACTTGACTGATTAATAGTTGATTGATAGATCTATTTCAGCTCTACTGCCTCTATTATATTGCCCCCATGAGGCTAATTGATTAATAAACTGTTTTTAGATCTACTGCCTCTAATATACTGCCCTCATGAGGAGCTCTAGAAACATTCGGCTGATTGATTAATAGTTGATTAATATATCCTTTTTTAACTCTACTGCCTCTATTATACTGCCCTCATCGCAGCTTTTGAGATTACGAGAACTTGTTTACTGATCAAACTACAAAATAATGAAATAAATATCCACAATGAACTAGTTTAATAGTAAAAAATTAAACTGTTAGTATTATATCAGTTAGAGAAATTATTACAATTGTAATCATTATATTATTTACCAGTATGCGCGGATTGTTGGCAGTCCACCAAGGGATTCGGAGAAGTGTGCAAACACTGGAGACTTGCTGATACTGTCCAGACGCTGCAACTCCCTGAACATTAGAAGAGAGAAAAAAAAAAGATATTAATCAATACTCAATGAATTTTATTTGTCATATATACATGTACAATACACATACAATGAAATTTTAACTGATTCCTTAACAAAAACAAACATAAAATGCGAAAATTTCAAACTAGTGACTTGTTCAATGCCCTATAGTATAGGGGATGGATAGGAACTACATAGAGATCTACCCCTCCCGGTCACTAGTGATTGATATCAGTGACCACTCTGCATCAAAGTGAATAAATGGTTAGCCAGGTAATTTCTGTCCTAAGCGATCGCCATTACCTTTTTAACCATACGGTCATGATAAACTACATCTACCGAAGGCTGCTCGATTCCAATGATACGGGAGGCGGACTTAACTACACGATTGAGGTCCTTCTTCTCCTTCTTGGTGAACATTAAACATTATTCATTTATTTACTTTTTTATTTTTTTTTTTTACATTTTTCACGCAGATGTTAATACACGCTTTTAAATTTCTGAAAGCTATATAATTATTAATCGAATATTCTGAAAGATTTTGAAAAAGCATGATGTCAGTTCTTTTCATATAACAAAAGAACAATTGACCCGTTGATCCAAGCCAGAATTTTCCAAGATTTTAAAAAGTCTAAAAATACATTAATATTCCGTAATAAAATGGTAATATTATCCAAAAAGCATAAAATATAAACAATTTTAAGTCACATATCAAACAAACTTCCAAAAAACATTATTTTACTATAAAATGGTAAAAGTATCAAAAAAGCATTTCCTTTAATTTCACCTTTAATAAACAATGTATACAAAACAGTGAAATAATTGTTTATATTGAAATTGAAACTGTTTATATTTAAATAGTAATAGATCTAAACTCCTACCCCAGCAACCTGTAAGTTATGCTATTTAGTAATGAACAACGATTAGAAATAGAATAGAATTTCATAAATGGAGGGTAATAATAAAAAAAAATAAATAAAAAAAATATAAATTAAATTAGATAAAAAATAAATAAATAAGCAAAAAAAAAAAAGTAGTTAGTCACATTGTAAAATTGGTGCTGCCTGTCATACGCAGAAGAATAGAGGGTCCAGTAATGTCATAGCACCTCTAGATAACTGGAAATCTCAAACTTAAACTTTAACACAATTTTCATTTTTCCTCTATTGTTTTTATTTATTTTTTTTAATCTATTCAACTGCACCCTTCCCACATTATCAACAGGTGCTGCTATTTTGCTTTGCAATTCCTTACCTTGAAGTTGTGATGAAATACATCATCATTACGATGTACAGGATTACCATTGGTATGCAAATAAAGATGAAGAAATACGACACGATGGTGTTGACAATGATGGCGGAGATACAGTTCATCGAAAACACCAGCAATGAATTCAGAGATGAACCCAGTTGCTACAAAGGTAATTCAATATTATCATTATATTCTCTATTTAGTTCAACAATGTATTTAGTTCATCAATGTTTTACAGTGATTTTCAATGCTTTGTGATAGTCACTGTGTTTGTGATCGTTACACTATGTGTTATCGTCACTGTGTTTGTTATCGTCGCTGTGTTTCTGATCGCCACTGTGTTTGTGATCATCACTGTGTTTGTGATCCTCACTGTGGTTGTGATCCTCACTGTGGTTGTGATAATCACAGTGTTTGTGATCATCGAGTTTGTGATTGTCGCTGTGTTTGTGATCGTCACTGTGTTTGTGATGGTCACTAATTATTTTGCAACCATCACTGTGTTTGCGATTGCTGTAAAAATTTCATTTCTCAACAATGAGTCGTTTCGGAGATAGCACAACCTATGTTTAAGCACAAAACTTAAAATCTAGTGATTTTCTGTGGTAAAACAACGTAACTGCAAGATTACGATTATAAAGATACGTTGATTTGCCTCGGGATAGTGTTCAAAAATGTTTTAAACTCATGGAATTTGGCACAGCAAAATCAACATGGTCTTTTGAGATCTGTGTTTGGTAATGCAACGCTTGACCGCCAAACACCGAGATATCCGTGTTACTTGTGTTTTATGGAATCCAATAAATGGGTAATTATCGACATTTACTAACAATTTGAACACTATGTTCAGTCTGGACCGTATGTATTTCACTATCTGTTTGTTTAAATTGAGCGTAGTATATATAACGGTTCATCCTGGTAAATATTCACAAAACAAACAACATTTTATAGTGCAGACAGACCTTTCCACCATCACAACCATCACTATTACAATTTCTAGTATGATTTTTTTTTTTATTACACATGAGCAATTTTTTTCCATTTACTTACTGCATCTAGAGTCTGTATGTCCGATGAAAATCGATTTAGAACTCGGCCGATTGGAGTTGTGTCAAAAAATCTGTAAATGAAATAATAACTTATTTGTTAGATTTCCAACTGTAATTCAATCATCTTGAAAGATCAACCTCATATCTTATCACCGTGTGTGTACTCATATTGTATGTATTTATTGTCTGTTGACTTCAAAAACAGTGATGTAATGAACCTTTCCTAAGTGTCAATTAAATTTAACTTTCAAACCAATGAGTACAGGACTTGGAATGAGCTGTGCCTAACTAGCGCCCATGTTGTTTCACAAATGCATGTGTTATGTTTTAACACAGGGGTGGGCAGAAAAACCAAAGTGAATTTTTGCTTTAACACCGAGGCCCGCACCCAAACTTGATGTTTCCAGTGAGCTTCCAAAAAACCTCCAAGCACTGCTTTAACACGACTTTATTTTTGAATGTTATGTTTTTACATGTGATCAGTGTCGGACCGTAAAAAACAAGGTGTTTTCTAGTCAATGTTGCTTGGCGGGCCGCACACACAGGGTTTTTAATTCATCTTCGTAGGCTGCAAAAACATCGCTGTCAGGCCACATGCATGTGGAGCCTTGGCAGCAATCCAAGGGGCATGGAGGGGCTTAAAAGAATGTCCAATTGAAATAGAAGCCAAAGGCTCCAGAATTATTTTGGCAGTTTAGAGCACACACAGTACATCTACCACCACTTAAGTGACTGAGATGTGTATGCTGCTTTCCTGAATCCAGAGGGCCTGCTTCCAGTGGTGACTCCAAAAATTTGCAGACAATTAGGGAGCACAATCCATTGGATCGCTACAGCCTTGGTCACAGTCCCATAGTAAGACTTCACGGTTTAGAATAACCATTGAGCTTTTAGATGACAATATTATAGATTGGCAATCACGATAAAATAGAGTGTAAAAAAAAAAATTAAAATATACAATAAATACTTAAGTTTGGAAAAGCAAATTAATATATGTAGACATTTTTGTGGGGGTCAAATGAAGAGGGAGGTCCAAGCTCATAGAATGAGTAGAGGAAAATAATGAAAACTTAAAAAAATGACACTGACCTGAGAGGGGAGAACATGACCCTTGTTAGCATGGTATTATGCATCCTCTTTGACGCATACAAAGCTGAGAGAACCAAAGTCAGGGATGATGTGGTTGACAGAATGATACTGGTGATGGAGAGCCCAGCATAGCCACCCAAATACTTGCGCAGTATTTGTGCATCAGTTTTCTATAAGAACAAAAACAAAAAGATTTGACATACAAACCACATACAGTAAAACTGAAGTAAAATACTAAAAACGATGGAAATGACAATGATGATGATGGTGATTATATTTTTTTTTATACGAATGTGTTTATGCCTTAAAAAGTAGAAAATACAAAAAAATACAACATGGACCATTTTAAAATCTATGTTGAAGAACAAAAACAATAGCATAACACTGTCGCATTGCCTACTGTACTGGCAAGGTAGGCCTAATCCAGGCTTTTTAGCTCATTAAAAAAAATTAAAATGCCGAACCTCAATTTCGTACAATTTGTGTTGATCAGCCATGGCCAACACAACATTTTCTTTTTTGTTGGCCTTGTGATAATGATGATAAAATAATGATGTTGATGATGATGCAAGGTTGATGACGATTATTATGATGACAATGATTATGATGATAATAATAAGATGATGTGAACAACAGTGGTTATAAAATAAATCCAACTGTGTTGATAGACAAATTTTTATTTACTGATGAATATCAGTTAGTCACTCAATCAAACAAACAATAGATAAATCAATCAATTATTCAAAAAATAACAAGTCATCAACAAAACCAATCATTTAAATGAACAATAAATAAAAAATCAATCATATAATCAACAATATTCTTACATTTGGTGGTGGATGAATACCAGCATTTGACCAGGCGGAGAGCCAGAAATTGTTGCCCACACTGCATCCATTGTACAGGAAAATGAGAACCATCACAAGCAGAAACACACGGACACGAAGCTGTTTGATATAATTTCCGTACATCGTAAAGCCAACGGATCCTTTAACACGCTCCTCTTTCTCAATTAGTTTTCCAGTTTCATCATCGTTATCTGAATATTAAGGACAAATCGAGAAAATATCATTGGGGTTGTCATGAGTAATCAAGTGATGCACAGAAATGATAGAAAAATTGTCTATTTTCATTTCCGGCCTACGAAGTCTCGCACATTTGTCATGGGGCTCGAGCATTAAAAACCACTCTCGTTCTGAGCGGTATCGCTTGTTTACTACATAATGTAGTTTTTTTATACACCAAATTCGTCACTGTTATAGTGAACAAACCGCTAGGTGTCAACTTTTGTAATGCCCCCACTTGAATAAACTTCAACAGTTTTTAAACCCCAAAAAATTCTTTATATGTACATCGTAAACTAAGTTATCGAAAAGCCTTGGTAAATATTCCTTTTTAATAAACGTCAGAGTTTTGACCCTTTAGATTTGAAATGGAATGAAAGAAACAAATGGAAAACTTGAACATTTTTGCATAGCCTCGTCGCGTGAAAGTCATACAAACAACTGTCTTCTGACTCAATGGTCATCGTTGTCAAAAGAAAGACCTTATTCTAAAATTCAGCAATAAGTTTGTCCAATAGTTTGAACCATGGATATATATATATATATATATATATATATATATATATATATACTGTATATATATATATACACCATGTAATCAGAAAGGAATATCCACCACCCATTGCCTGACAGAGGTGTACAATAAACTTATTTCAAATGCTGAGATTCCTAACTCAATTAGTACACTGGCCCTAACAGATTTTACAAAGGCTGTTGACTTTATTGATCATAGATTTTGCAAATCCCCTTCTATCTTGCAATGGGTTGTGGATTCCCTTTCAGATAGAAATCAAAGGGTTAAGTACAAGAACAAACTTTCCGAATGGGAAACCCTTACTGGGGGAGTCCCTCAACGTACAATCCTTGCACCCATAATTTTTTTGGTGTGTAATTAATAGTGCCCTTACAGATGATATTTTAGGATCTAATTATGGGATCCAGGTCTGGAAGTATGTCGATGACCTGAAGCTTGGAGAGAGTAGAATTTTAGGCCAACCAAGTTTGATTCAGGAGGGACTAAATTGTCTTCAAGAGTGGTCATTGACCAATAAATTGAAACTTAATCCCTCCAAGTGTCAAGTCATGCAAATTTATTATGGAAAGAGAATGCTTCCAGACCTGGATCTTCACATAGCTGATCATAAATTACAAGTTGTCTCTGAAGTTAAATTATTGGGGGTTCTTTTCCAGTCAGATTTGAAATGGGGGAGGAGGGGGGGTAATGTCAAACTTATGCTACAAAAAGCTAATAAAAAACTATTCATGCTCCATAAATTGAAACAGGCTGATTTGAATATTAAAGAGTTATTGACTGTGTACAAAGGTTATCATCCGCCCCATATTAGAATAGGCCGTCGCATTGTGGAATAATGGCCTCACTGTGCTGCACATATCCCGTCTAGAAAGTATGCAAAAACGAGTTTGCCGTTTAATCCTTGGGGGACAGTATATGACTTATGACTGTGCGCTCAAATACCTGGAGCTTGAATCTCTCAGTGAACGTCGGGAGTCAGTGTGTAAGGCATTTGCTATAAAAGCCAGTAAGAATGATATTTTCAGCAACTGGTTTCCACAGATAACCTCTACTCACACCGGAAGGGAGAAAAGATATGGACATCATGGTATAACTACAACTAGATTTAAAAAAGGTCCCCTTCCATATCTCACAGGCTTACTTGAATCTATCTAATAACCAAACAAAATATAATTGGAATTTTTAACACAGTAATCAATAATTTTTTTTCATTGAGTCGTATACTCTCCTAGCAAACAATAATAATATAATCTTTATTCATTCCACCACCTATGGTACAATACCGAAACCAAGAAGGCAATGCCTGTAAGCAGGTCCGGTGCTAACTTATAAATTAATGCCTTAAATAAACATCAAACGGATACAAACATGGTCCGTAACTCGCCTAACCCTCCTGAGAGGGTTATTCGAGGAGCTGAGCGTTTTTTGTTATTATAAAGACACGAATTCAATACTCGACACAGAGCCGGGTATCGAGCCCGGGCCCTAGCGTGCAAGAGGCAGGAACCATACCAATTAGCCAAACGCTCAGCTAGTTTATTAAGTACAGTAATTATATTTTTGTATTTGACTTGGGTTTTTTTATGTTTTTGTATTTTATTGGGGTTTAATCTATTTTGGTATTTGACTAGGGTTTGTATTTTTTAAATTGATGTTTCTTATTGGCTGTTTGTGAAGAGTGTCCCCAATTCAGCTTTCAGATGCTAAGGAACTCTATTTTGCCAACTTGACTTTTTTTACAAAAAATTTAAATAAAGAGACCGAGATATATATACCTAAATGGCTACAGTAACAGGCGCTATACGATCTTTGGTTACGGTAGCTTGACGTAAAAAAAACATAAAATCGTAATGCCCTATAACTTCATAAAAAAAAAATGCCAAATAAAAGTTTTAAAGTAGATTCTATTATTAATGACATATACAAAAAAAAAATTCATTCTAAGTCCCTTTTAAATTTTACTTGACAAAAAAATGTGATATGCTTAAATATGGAAATGGTGATATCACATCAAGTCAGTCATTTCCCCTACTGGGTAATGGTCTATAAACAAAGTTGTTTTGACTTTTTTGCATTCAAAAAAAAAAAAGATTTAATTTAATTAAGTGAAAAAATATTGGAACATGACATGTCAATAATTATATTTTGCAAGAGAATATTTACAGGTATATAACCAGCGAGAGCAAAAGGAATAATTGACATTTTATAGTTGTTAATAACATTTTAAAAATGCATTATTCACTATTCACTGTGAAAAAAAATGTGTTAATGGATACACATAGATGAAAACATCAAACATGTTTTGGGTATGAAGATGTTTGGGACTGGAGGAATCATCTTAAACACCAGGCTGCATCTCCACTCTATAAGACTCACCAATGTTCATTAAACTAATATTTACTTTTAGTAATAATATTTCTAACTGGAAGCCAGAAGTTTTACAAATGCATTGCTTTCTAAACAACCCAAATTTAAGTTTGCTTAGATTTCTGTTAATAGGATTGGCTTACCCAGTCGGCTTTTTCAACGTACTGAACTTGATGTGTCACCAAAAGGCAAGTTCGATTATTGTTCAGCAGCAATCCCACAATGCCTTCTTCAAATACCTGACGTCCCACGTGGACATCAAGTGCTGATAGTGGATCATCCTATAAAAGAATTGATGACATATGCAATATTATTGAGGGGCTTTTTAAAAAATTTGTTTCACGTAGTTTAAATCACTTGTAGGCCCAATATATAAATTTATTCATATACTGTATGTAGGCACAAAGTTTTAAGATTGCTGATAGCAAAGATCATTGTTTCATCTCTTCTCGGTACTTTCAATTTTATTTTTTAATATTTGTTAAGCACTTCTCTGACGATCTTTCCAAAAAATTATTGCCTAAACCTATTAAAACATACACCAACGGCCCAGGAATTAGAAGGCAAGCATCTCAACAACCAATATACAGCTCCATTAAACCATAGATGAAATTTTACTTTTGAAAAAGAATGGGTTTCAAATTAATATGAAATTATAATTTTGAAAATATATATGAAAATTACAAAAAAAAAAAAAAAAAATAAACAAATGAATTTGAGAAATAAAGAGAGAATTTACTGAATACAAATTTGTATTCCTACCAATATTACAACATCATTGTAACTGTACATCGCCCTGGCCACGCTGATCCTCTGTTTTTGGCCTCCGCTGAGGTTAATGCCCTTCTCGCCAATCTCTGTTTGATCGCCAGCTGGTAGGATATCAATGTCTGGCTTCAGAGCACAAGAGGAGATGACCGAATCGTATCTATTAACCGATTAAAAAGGAATCAACCAAAGATACTAGAAACACAACATAGAGCACTCGTGTAGTAAAAGTGAGGCGGAAATACATCACATTTTTTACTCAAATTTAGGCGTAAGCGGTGGCCTTCCATGTTCAATAATACCAATTTACACAAGATGATAATAGGCACGCATCCAGACGTACAGGGCGCCCTTCTGTTGCTAAGTAAATCAAAACGTACGTGGCTTACATTTTATACTTTTCAATAAGTAACTTTGTTCAATACTATCTTGTCATTTGCCATTTTTTGACTGAAATTAAAATTTAATTTACTTACGCTACTGTTTACTTTTCCTTTATTGTATCAAACACTCTTATAACTTTTAAAGGCTTCCCCAGATAACCATGTTTAAAAACACACATAAATAAATGCTTGCCATTTTATTGGTGGAATTAATATTATGTAACAGGTATTTACAACAGTTGAAATCAAAATAGTCAATTATTTTATCTGAATTATTTTTATTTCCAAATGTTTATGTTCTATTCATTATCTTCCACTCCATGATTCCTGGAGGTTAAATATCAAATGATGCCATCATGCTAACAAACCCATTTAAACTTGCAACACACTATAGCTGGCAGAAAAGCCACAGATAGCAAAACTTTTTATGTATAACTAGAATCAATTTTTACTAGAATGATCAATAATAAATTACTTGTTCTCCTGCTTACCTGTCCGACTCAGCGCAATAACCAAACAGAACATTTTCTTTAAGCGATGCATTAACAAGCCACGCTTTCTGCGCTGCAAATGACACGGTGCTCTTGTGCCTGAAAAGGTAAATGAGGAAAACATGTTCATCAATCAATCAATAAATAACCACTCAATCAATCAATGGACTAACCAATCAATCATTTTATTTAAATTGTATCAATACAGTCATCTACATTGCACAATTATGTAATATTCAAAATCGGAAAAAACAGTAAGCTTGGCTTGCACTGGGTATTGTTCTAGGTAATCACTTAAACATTCGTACACAGCACTTCATCAATGTCATGAAAATATTTTTTCTGTATTGTGACTTGTATACAATTGCCTGTGACTTAATATTGAAGTTACAACAGTGAGTGTTTCGCAAGCTTAAAAAAACGGGGAAAAAATATGGTTACGTCATCAATTTTTTAGATAACCCTTTCCCTAGAGTAGCATACATGTCACAGCATAGGCGATTCATGTCAATTGCATGAATTAATTATCATATGCCGCTCATACAGCATTATTAAGAATGCTTTAGACACGAATGACGATAACGACAATGACGTATTCGTATTCGTTATCGCTTTCATAAGGTTGCGAAATCATACTATTAATTATTTATTTGACAAATACAAATTCAGGAGCAAGATTCACAGTTGGCAAGTTATTTTGATTTCAATTAATAATAATCACAAAATGCTCCACAACCCAATATTATATTAATTATATAGTATCAAAATTATATATATTATTTTATTAAATCGTTTGTGTGCAATTGGAAATAAATCTGCATGTAGGTGTTAATCCCTATTGTCTCTTCCTGTATTTTGAATAAATAATTAATAAACATAACTTTCTTGGATTGGATTGGATTAATTCGGTGTAAACACCAAGGATAACCCACGAAAGTCTGAAGAAGACATATTTCCATTGGGGGTCCTTCTTCTGGTGGTGATTTGGCAGTACACCGGGAGACAATCCTCCACTCTTTTTTGAAGAGTGTACTGTGTTCTTTAACATGCATATGGGCCATAACATGTACACGGGACCCAACAGCTTGAACGTCTCATCCGAAAGACGGTGCGAGATCGTAATTTGTATTTTAGCCCTCTAGCTGAAATACAAGAAGAGCAGCGATGAGAATTGAAGCGGAGACCAAGAAGTCTTCACGATTCAGCGCACACTCAGTAGCTACCACCAGTTTAGACGACTGAGCTAAGCTGCTCTTGCACAATGATTGTCAGTTTCTACATTACCTGTTCCACTGGACATTCCCACTGAGAGTAGACATCTCACCCAACATTGCCGCCAACACAGAGGACTTGCCACTTCCAACAGCACCAACGATCATTGTCAGTTTACCTATAATCCATTAAAACCCGTAGGTAAAATCAGTGTATTATTACCGTATATTCTTGCGTATAATAAGGTGATGTACGTATTAGAAGACCCCCGAGTTTTGGAAGATTTTCATATGTGGGGTGTAGCCGAGCACTCAATGTAGCCGGCGGTCACCGGCCGACGTGATTCCACATATATTGCAACGCCACGACGCGTGCGTAACTAATCTTTTTTAATGACGATCAGTTCAGATTGTCACCGACAATCAGAAGACAGCCTTGTATCGTCTGACGCTCACAGGGAGTGGAGTTAAGATTCATCGTACGAGGCAGTGAGTGCCCAGCTTAAGACCACCCTCTGCTTTAGCATCAGAATTCCTACGTTTTTGATGCTCTTTACAGTCTAAATACTGCCTCTAGCTGTCTAAGTATGGAGCCAAATGTAGGGAAATCCTTGAACTAATACCATTTTATGGGCTTTAAAATGTTCATCAAAAACCTTCATTCATACTAACAGTTAGTAGTTTCCTTTAGGTAGTAAATTTGCGTGTTACGGACAATTCGCACATAAGACGAACATGATTTAAAAATCAGAAATGGGTATAGGATCTTAAGTTACTATTTTAAGGCTTGGCATATATGCGAGAATATACGATATATCATAACATATCATTTCATGTCACTTTATTTATTAAATTTTCTTTTTAGGTTTTTGGTATGTGATACATATACTTTGCCATGTTTAACATTCGTAGAGTCATACATTTAAATTTGTGTACATTCAAAGCCGAAGTTAGTTCTGGTCTCGTGCCAATCTCAGCCACTTTAGATAGGCTTTCTTCGTTAAGGCTTAATTCTACGAATGGATGTCTGTTGTGAAGCAGGAAATCAAGTTGTCCCTCCCCAGTACCGCCTGATTATAAATCGACGGGAAATCAACTGATAGTTACAGAAAATAAAAATATACAAAGAAAATAATGATTCCCTCACCTGCGGGTATTTCTAAGCTAATGTCGGCTAAAGTTGGCTCTGGTGAATCAACATCCCAAGTAAAGTTAGCATGTTCAATCTGTGAATAAGAAGAGGAAGATTTGAAATAAGAATAAGTATTGAAATTTATATAATTATTTTATTTATTTATTAAGCTTCATCACTGCACTGAGAACAAAAAGTACAAGAAAACAAGACATGAAAATCAGCAAATAGGAAGGGATGAACAGGTGTCAAGCACCTCTATCGACATCCCCCCTTGCTGAACAAAATTAACCTCAAATCAAGAGAAAAAGAACAGAAAAAAAGATGTGGAAATTGCACGTAATGAGTGCAAAAATAAATATATTTACATTTTAAAGTAAAGGCTCTACACCAACAAGGTCATGCACCACTCACAGAGCACAGATAAACACTGGTAAATCGTAGAGTACAATGCCTAGGTATCTGGATGTCCCCCCGTGGTAGTTGCCAGGATCTCAGAAAGTTTCATTTCAAATTTAGTGAAAATGGTGTATGGGGCTATTGTTGAAAAAAGGGACTTTAGTGGAGGCAGTAAATACAGAGGCACATGCATACATATGTTCGAACTATCAAAACAATTATTGAAATGTAGAATATATACTGACCTTTAGCACCAGGTCATCAGGAAGGTCATCAACATTTGAGAAATTTGGGTTGGTAGTGTTCGACGAGAAGGTTCCATATTGGTTGCCATCGGCTGCATTTACCAATAATGTACGATCGTTGTTCTTTTTACTTTTAAACTTGTTTGGTGGTAAGCGACAAGCTGTGCCAAAGTCCTGTTAAACAAGATATAAAAAATGTTTTATTTTCTGCATTCAAACAAGGATATGCAGAAATACGCTATGATCATGATCTGGTTGAGCTTGCTTGGGATTTTTTGTCTCAGGTCGAGTTTGTTTGGGATTGTCCGTTTCATTCTCGCCACCCATCACAATACACATTAAACAATGGCTATTTCTTAATTGTCAATCAATTAAACAAGTGTCCAATCAAAACAAGGTATTGGAACACGTACATTTCTCACATGTGTGGTCACATAAAGCACACGTCCCATATAAGCTTTCATTTTGCGGGGCCTCGGCAACAATATCTAAGGGGCGGAGCTTAGTGGAAAGGATTTACATATTTCTTTTAAACACTTTTAATTCATCCAACTGTAATTGCCAATTAATGGATTTGCTTTAAAAAAAAAAAGTAATATGACTTTAGGACATGATATACAGAATTAAAAGCTTCTTACATCTTCATCAATTGCCGACTTGTCTCGTTCGACTTTGGCAGGACAATATTTCAAGACTTTATGTAAATTAACAATCTTCGGATAAGCGTGAAATTAAATTAGTTAAATATAAACACTCACCACAAGAGTAACAAGAAGAGGCGATGCAATAGTTGTAGTTGCTGAAATATAAAGAAAAATATTAAGCTATCCATAATATAAGATATTATGTGAGTAATACATGTATATACCAATATATGGGTTGATATGACATCACATGTCCATATATGGAAGTGATATGGCATCATTATGCTGATATGTGGCAAGGAAAAGCCAAACCAGTCATTCGTCACAAATCGTATTTCAGAGATATTGACCAAAACATGCTGCAATATCAATTTGTTTGAAATCAATTTCATTGCACTATTAAAGCAAACCTTAATATTATCTATACATCATGATGCTTTCATTTTATATATTTTCAATGTTAATCAACAATTTTTAACAATTTGGTGATTGTTTCTGCCTTAGAAAAGCCCAAAATCATAAACTTTGAAGGCTGATTTCTCAAATATTGTTCTTTAAACAGCTGTATGCTTAAACACTTGTAACTTCATAAGGAAATGTCTGATTTTCATGATTCTTTTTACCATTTTATAGCTCTTATTTTACTTTTTAACCCTCTATTATTAACTAAAAATTGATTTTTGCGACGAGTGACTGGTTTGGCTGGTCTTTGACAAATATGGACAATTCATAATATATTCATGATAGTATGGATGAGAAGTTAATTTCACAAGAATACATTTTCCATTTGCATAGAAAAGGTGGTTGACAAACCTAATAACACTATACAATGATTTATAGCCATGAAAAATTTAAAAAAAAAACAAATATAAACGGAATGAAAAAATCTGAGAATACAGGCAATGTTACACTTTAAAACCCCCTCTAAGATTCCAGAGATTCAAGATATTGACAATGATGTATTATTATAATTGATGTGATGTAATATGCCAAAGTATGGTAATGATGACATCACATCATGACCATATATAGGCTCATCATGACTATATATGGGCATAAACAGTTTTTGTTAATGAAAATTTAATAGAGTAGACAGAGCATACAGCCATACCTCTGGTGGAAAACAATTTTTTTTAAATATTTTGTACAACTGTTTCTAAGACACAAAAATGGTGTTTGACAAAAAACTCTGGAAAAGTTAATGATACAGACTTTGTAATATTTAAAAACCGGGGGAAAAGGTGGTTACGCCCCTTTTTCCCCAGTTTTCAAATATCCAAAAATCTGTATATCATTAACAAGTTCCCCAGTTTTTCCTGAAAAATCAATTTCCTGTCTTAGGAAAATCAGTTGTCCAACACATTAAAACAAAAATTTTCCTCTGCAGCCTGGCATTAAACCTTGTTAGATAATTTGTGGCAAAGACAAGCTAAAGCAGTAACTTCTTGTAAAAAAAAAAAATTGATTTTTAGTTATTAAGACAGGATTAAACAGTAAAATGAGAGTTATAAAACGGTAGAATAATATTTAAATCCAACATTTTGCTATAGAGTTTAACAGGAGTTTAAACATACAGCTGTTTAAAGAACAATATTTGAGAAATCAGAAAAGAAGCCAACAATGTAGTAGATGGTGCTATACTCACTTAAAGCAGAACTCCAGAGGGAGCCCTTCATTCTGACATGAACCTCTTTCGCTCGAGCATCTTTGATGTTGTATAAAAAGATGTGCTCCCAGCCGTACAGCTTAATTAACTTGATCCCTTGCAGCATTTCATTTATCCTCTTCAGACGCTCATCAGAATTGGCCTGCGAATTAACAAAGATGTTAATAAGCATTTACCTTTATAGTACAGCCTTACTTACATGCATTCGGCGTCAGACTCATGCTTAAGGACTAAAATATCACGTCTAAATGTATTGATATAATTATAAAATTTACATGTTTTCCACCCCCATCCCCCAAAAGAAATAAATTATATATAAAAGTTATTATTTGAGTGTATTAAAATCAATTCTAAATGCACCAGTTTTGGTAGGCGCTAACAATTTAAAGGACATGGGCTGTTTATATCATTATTATTATTATTATTATTATTATTATTATTATTATTAATATTATTATTATTATTATTACTATTATTATTATTACTATTATTATTATTATTATTATTATTATTACTTCTGTAATTATCATTAAATTCTATTGTTCTATATTTTTTTTTCTCTTACCATGACAATTTTCTGGAAACCAGCAAGAATACCAGCAATTTTAGTCTGTATCGGCATGGTAACAAAGAATACACAGAAACCAACCAACGCCGAGTAGCCCAAGGTCTTATACAGGATATATAAAGATATACCAAGCTAAAAAAAAATTAAGAAAATGGAAAAGAAAATATAATTATCAAAATTTATAAACAATAAAGGTGAGCATTTTAGGGTTAAAAAGTAAGAGTTGGGCGCTAAACATTGATGCCAGCAGGGATAAATACTATGTATATTTTTGTAATTTACATTTTTTTTAAGTTTTTGAAACCTATCAATGGATACGAAAATTTACACAAAAAAAAAAAAAAAATACAAAACAAAACAAGCAAAGGAAACAATAACAGGTAAATGAAGAAATACAAAAATCAGTTTTTCTACTAGATAGAAAGCCTTGACCTTGGTTCAAGTGAGGATTATTGGATGTAGAACACTGGATTAGAGAAGTGTTGATTATTCTATAGACTATATAGTACAAATTTTTATAATGGCCTTCCATGGCTTAGTACGAATAAAATATTCTGATTTTCTTAGTATTTTGAAAACGTGGAAAAGAGGATATGGATGGGTTTAACCTTCATTAGAGCTATAAGTGTGAATTAAATTTGGATGTAGTGAAGTCGTTCTTTTAAAATGCAATTGTCCAGTGTATTAAAATATGTTTGTGTCTGGATTTTATAAGTGGCTTTAGTAAATTTGCATGTCTAGTATTTTGATATGGTTGAAACTGAGCTGATGCCGGCTTCAGAAACATTGCGAGGTAGGAGTGTCTGAATAAACATGATCAGAAGCCTCACACATCTACAATCGGTGCAGTGGGTCGCAGGGGATATCCCCATTGCTGCATCAAACTTTTTAGATGCCTGGGGATCTAAAAAAAGAAAAACCCTCCCAGGAATAACTCACAATTTCAGAGGCTTCATTAATTATTAATTAAATTGTTGGTTTATATACCTACTGTTCCAACAGAAATAGAGTGGTTTCACAACTCTCTGGTTTTCTTGATATAGATATAAATTTTTCTAAATCTATTAAATTTAATTGATTTCATTTCATGTTTCTTGTATTTTTAGAGCCCTTTTGGATAGGTTTATATACTTATATCCAACAGGAATAGAACAGGAATTTAATTGATTTTGTTCCTTTCTTGCACTTTTAGAGCCCTTTTGTTAATAGTTTTTATAGTACAGATTTGAATATTTTTACAGTTCATGTGCAATGGATTCCTGGTAATCCTGATATTGAAAACAACACATGTATATCTGTGATGAGTAGTGGGAGAATTAAAGACAAACAAGCTTGACAAACTAAACAAGCTAAACAAGATTATGATCCTACTAGAACAGTTAAGTGGATTTGAAGGTTTGACAGTTACGGTGCCTGCTTTCCAAGCCCAGGGTCTTAGGTTCAATTCCTGTCACAATAACAGGATTCAAGATTCAAGACCAAAACAACTGCAATTATTATTATTATTATTATTATTATTATTATTATTATTAATATTATTATTATTATTATTACTATTATTATTATTACTATTATTATTATTATTATTATTATTATTACTTCTGTAATTATCATTAAATTCTATTGTTCTATATTTTTTTTTCTCTTACCATGACAATTTTCTGGAAACCAGCAAGAATACCAGCAATTTTAGTCTGTATCGGCATGGTAACAAAGAATACACAGAAACCAACCAACGCCGAGTAGCCCAAGGTCTTATACAGGATATATAAAGATATACCAAGCTAAAAAAAAATTAAGAAAATGGAAAGGAAAATATAATTATCAAAATTTATAAACAATAAAGGTGAGCATTTTAGGGTTAAAAAGTAAGAGTTGGGCGCTAAACATTGATGCCAGCAGGGATAAATACTATGTATATTTTTGTAATTTACATTTTTTTTAAGTTTTTGAAACCTATCAATGGATACGAAAATTTACACAAAAAAAAAAAAAAAATACAAAACAAAACAAGCAAAGGAAACAATAACAGGTAAATGAAGAAATACAAAAATCAGTTTTTCTGCTAGATAGAAAGCCTTGACCTTGGTTCAAGTGAGGATTATTGGATGTAGAACACTGGATTAGAGAAGTGTTGATTATTCTATAGACTATATAGTACATAGTGATAATGGCCTTCCATGGCTTAGTACAAATAAAATATTCTGATTTTCTTAGTATTTTGAAAACGTGGAAAAGAGGATATAGATGGGTTTAACCTTGATTAGAGCTATAGTGTGAATTAAATTTGGATGTAGTGAAGTCGTTCTTAAAATGCAATTGTCCAGTGTATTACAATATGTTTGTGTCTGGATTTTATAAGCGGCTTTAGTAAATTTGCATTGTCTAGTATTTTCATATGGTTGAAACTGGGCTGATGCCGGCTTCAGAAACATTGCAAGGGAGGAGTGTCTGAATAAACATGATCAGAAGCCTCACATGTCTACAGTAGGTGCAGTGGTTCGCAGGGGATATCCCCATTGCTGCATCAAACAAGTAACAATTACAATTAAGAGCAGCTTACTTGGTAGGGGATAGACCATATATAGTGAACCCACTGGGCCGAGTTTAGCAAATTCATAGCATCCACAGACATCAAATTCGTAATCTGACCCATCGTCATTGATCCGCCAGTCATTGTCCAAGTAGAAAGCTTCAGGGCTTTATCATACACACTGGTCTACAACAACAACAAAAATACACAAATAATTAAAATGTATTCATTTAATAAATTATGAATATGCTTAACCATGATTAAAATATAACTATATATGACTAACATAAACTTAAAATTTAAAGCTTGATTTAAATATATAATTTATGATTATGAATTTAACATCAACTATAAAATTATAAATTTACATAACAATGCATTGTTAAAATATAAAAAATGATAGTAAATAATATAACTATAGTAAAATAATAGAAATTATTTAATTATAAAAAAGCAGCTGATGATGGTAATGATGATGTTTACTAATGATGAATATGATGACGAAGATGACACAATAATATTAAAAATAATAGCTTGATTCAAATAATATAATTTATGAATATAAATTTCACATCAACTAGTAACATCATTATAAATTTACATAACAATGCATTGTTAAAATTTAAAAAATGATAGTAATAAATATAACTATAGTAAAATAATAGAAATTATTTAATTATAAAAAAGCAGTTGATGATGGTAACGATGATGTTTACTAATGATGAATATAACGAAGATGACACAATAATATTAAAAATAATAGCTTGATTCAAATAATATAATTTATGATTATAAATTTAACATCAATTATAACATTATAAATTTGCATAACGCATTGTTAAAATTTAAAAAATGATAGTAATAATATAACCATAGTAAAATAATAGAAATTATTTAACTATAAAAAAGCAGCTGATAATGGTAATGATGATGTTTACAAATGATGACTATGATGACGAATATGACACAATAATATTAAAAATAATAGGTAATACAATAATAGTAAAAAAAAATGAGCAAAACTTTAACTATAAAAATATTAAACTAATACTATTTAATAATACATTTTATTGGGTTGAATTTCCTATAGATGTGGTGAATTTCCTGTAGATGTGGTGGAGATGGTAGTCATGGTGATATAATAATGATGATGTTTATGAATGACGATGATGACAATTTAATGAAAATGATAGGCAATATAATAAATAGTAAAAAAAAAACAATAAATAATACTTAATAAAAATTTTTTTTAAATATATTTTAATATATTTTACAAAGTAAAACTACCTGAAGAGCTGCTCGTAGATGAATGCTTTCAATAATGACAACCTGGTAATGAGACTGCAAACACAGAGACCTCAGAACAGCGGCAAAAAATATAACAGCAAGGAGTATATAGCCATTGTGAAGAAACACTTCAACGGTCACATATTGGTCATCCTATAAAAAAAAATTTTTAAAAATGTATTATTTTTTTTATGTATCTTTCCTTACTGTTTTAAAATACAAAAAGAAAATCTTCTTTCTGACAATGGTGTCAATAAAAAGATTAACCTCATTTGGTGTTGAATTACTATTATTTTCTTTATATTACAATTTTTTTTTTAAATTTATTTATATTTATTTTTTTTTTACATTCTTTTTTTCTTCCAATGATCATGGTTTTCCAGCAAGCTTTTATAAATAATTTTAATTTTTTTCCCTAAATATTTTTCAGTCTCAGATCAATGTTTTATTCTCTTGCATTGGCTATATTTATCATTGTACAAGCTTGTAATTTCTTGCCTGTACTATAACACTCTATGCCTGTCACTAAAAAAATGTTTGTCCTAATGTATAACGTCGAATGGTAGAAGCACCGTTGGTTCAAGCAGGCGTGCTCGTCTATGTTTCCGTTGGTGGAGCTAGTAGAATACGGACTAACCCTAGGGCTCAGTGAACTAATTGGTTCATCTCATGTGCAGTATAAAGAACCCAGTACATTTATTGATACTTGGTATTAGGAGGGCTACCCTGCTTATACTAGTCCATACAGCCCCTGTTGTCAGGGATATACGTATGATGGGTGGTGGGTGGGGGCCACCTAGCCTTAAAGTTTTCCACCCAGTCTCTAGTTTAGGGTAGCTCAGACGCGAAGAGACTCCAGGGAGGGGCAAGCTACAGTACAAGCCAGTCCACACTTCAAGCGCTTTTTGTAAATTGTAATATAACCCCTTCGGTGACGAACAAATATACGATAAGAAAAAATATATTTTTTTATGCTTAATATTTACATCATCTTGGGTCTATTTGTGAAAATATAACTTTTTTTTTTAAAGATGCAAGTTAGGCTTTATGTACACGATATGACCGAAGGGGGAAAATCTAAACTACATTACAGTAACGATTAACCATAAATTAATACTTAAAAAAGATATTTTAAAGAAATAAATGTTAAATTATTATAAAGAAATATTATACATACCTCTTCTGGTTTTGGTTCTAAACCACTGACATACTCAAGAAGATACCTAAGTGCCACTGGTCCGACAAAGCTCAAAGAGTCGCCACAGAATTTAAGACACCCAGCTAGCATCATCTTGAACCCATACACTTTGAAGAATACACGGTATAAGTTAATGGAGACGCCCTTTGCCAGTGCACGCTCCTATATAACGACAAAAGAAATATTTTTCACGTTTTCTTTTAAAAAGACAAATAAACAAAGTTATAAATTATCTTCTTCTGCCTGACAAATTCATTTTTACCTACCATCATCAATAGTCACTATGCAGTTGTAGCAGAAGGGCATTTATTAGAGCAAAATTTGAACCACCATCAAGTAATAATAATAGTTTAGTTTTATATAGCGCACATATGTATCCCATTTGGGGACTGAGATGAAAGAGGACATTCTTGATTAAATATCTGAGGGTACTCTAACATTCGAGTTAGTTCCGGTGACTTGAACAAACGAATGGAAACACAGTAGTAACTCCTTGGTAATTTCTGTACTGTACTCAGCAACCGAGGTTCCAACAATGCATATTTTGATATTACACATTCAACCCCTTGGACCACTGTTTGGCCCATTTGAATCCTAAGTTAAAAAGAGGGCATGTTGGTATCTGTGGGTTTTAGCCAGTGAGAGCTAGGTATTTGGCAGTATTGTTATTAATTTTTATTACTACTATTATTATTACTTTAATATTACTATTATTATTATTATTAACTATAATTATTATTATTATTATTATTATTATTATTATTATTATTATAGGCAATTAGGAAGAAAAGCAAATTGGTTCTTACTGTACATGATGCAAGTCAATAAAGATATTTTTAATCACATATTTTTATATACCGTATCTGTTTTATTTCTTAGTTGTTTTTCTTAGTTCTTGTCTTGCTTTGAAAACAAAACATTAAATTAACAATATCGTTTAAACCATTAATGGGGATACGACTTAAAACTAATTAGGCGAGTCTAATTAGCATATAGTCTCTTCCACAAATCAAATCAAATCATTTGTATACCATTGAAATAAACATTGAACACTGAACCACTGAACTATTGTGTTTTACCTATACACTGCTGTAGTTTGTAACAATATCTCACCCCTGACCTGTTGACCTATTTGTATAATGTAGGTCAGGTATTTGATTTGAGGAAAGACTAAAGCTTTTAATGCACTTGAGATTGGAAATCTGTATTCAATTGTATTCTATACTGTATTGTGTTTCGTATAATAAACACTACATGTTTATCAGTATATTAAATTGTTTGCCAATTAATCAATCAATCAATCTATCAAATTTTTTTTTTCCTCTGTACAAAGATATTTTTTTTTTTTTTTTTTGCTTTGGTGATGATGTGATATTACTATTATTAATGAAATCATATTTAAATTTGTCATAATTTTTTAAGGAGCACAAAGAACAGATATTTGGCCTGCCTATCCTTAAATGTTATATTTGTATTGAGTATGAATTTTCAGCAATTTATATAATTAAGCTCCACAGAAAAAAACATAACAAAGACAAAGAAAGAGGGAGGATGGTGTGTGGGGGAGGGGGAGGCAAAAAATTGCACAAAAACTACTAACACCGGAAATGGTGTGCCCACCCAACTAGAGCTTCCAAAACATTCGACAAGTATAAAAATAGTTATAAAAATAGACACAAGATTATTATTATTATTATTATTATCAAATATCGGCCTAACTAATAATTAAGAAAAATATTAAAAAAATTATTGCAATTATTGCCCAAAGCAATTTTTTTTTAAATCACTATCATATTTAAGCCTAACAAATTAACCACAATTATAATAAAAAAATTATTATTACTTTACTATTTACAGTATATTGTTATTTTTTAATTTATTTAATTAAAAAAGCATATTAGGCCTAAATTTTAGAAGTTTAAGAAGTAAAAAGCAAACAAAATAGTAAAAAAATCAATCTATTTGATATCAATTTAAGAAAGTGTTATTGTATTAAACCACGGATTGGATAAACCAATGTTTATCTTCCCATAACACAAGAACCAAGAATAATTCGCATATTGAAAGACCTCCATTGCTTTATTATCTAAAACCACTCACCCGTTCTTTCTCTAAAGCCTCTTCAAAGAGCATGCGGTTTTGGCGGGCTTTGTGAGAGCTAGACAGTACCCCTAGATCTTCGAGCTCGATGGGCTCTTTGTAGCCTTTCCTAAACAACCAGTTCAGCCACCAGTAGGTCGCCGATGACATAAGATTGCAGTAGCCTTGCATGAAGAACATATTTTCTTTCTTAAGATCATCTGGCAACTCATCGTCGTTGGAGGAACAGGATAGAGCCTGCCAAAAAATACATACGGAAATATTGATGGAACAATTTTAGGTAGCCATGCTGGTTGTAAATATTAGCACTTTACAGGCTATAAAACTAAAATATTGCTGTAACTGTATTATCGATAATACCGTTGTACACTGTAAACCACGCACAATGGATGTAAACTTTTAA